GGTTCGATGTATCATCGTGTATATTTAATACACGCAGGAAAAAAGCACCCCTAACGTATGGCCTCATGTCTGTTTCAGTGGCGGACCAGGGCAATTTCTACAAAGACTTCTGTGGGTATAGTGGCACCCGTCGCGCCCTCGAGGAGAAATCGAGCCGTCGTTTGGTAGGTGTCATCCTCCCAAGTCAAATTTCTCTCTCTCTCTCTCTCTCTCTCTCTCTCTCTCTCTCTCTCTCTCTCTCTTTTTTTTCTATCCAGTTTTATCATTAGATTTCCTTATTCCATAATTAATTACTCTTACCGTATATTTCGGTTTATCACCATTGTTGTTGATCCGTTATTGTGGCCGAGTGTAGCAGCAAAGTTTATAATATTAACACTTTTACTTGTGTGGTTAAGGATTGACAATTTCCTCTCTATCCCCGGCTTTTCTGTAATTCTTCTATCGCATTAACGTCACGCTTTCTTCGATTCATTCATCATTATACTAAATGTCTGTTGATTATCGAGACGAAAGTAGTCGTCCTTTGACTGTTTTCGTCATCGGTGGCGCATATCTAGTAGAAAACAATTTGAGTTGTAGCCCCGAGGTGCCACTATACCCATGGTACGAGCACTCTCCTTCCCGAAATCACGTGCAGCCTGTTGTAAAATACGTTCTTGTCTTGCAATTTCCGATCACACGGAATGATTCTTTGTATCTGTTGAGTTTTTCCAGGCTCACGTGATCTTCGTGACCGAGGGTGGCTCACTTTTCTGCTCCGCGATTTCTACGGTACCTTGCACAGAAAACTTTCTAATTACGGTAATTTTACTTAATCCTTTCCCTTTGCATCAAAACGTTTTAATGATTCGATGGGGAAGGCAGTTGATCCGGTATCTACGATCATAATTTTTTTTCTTAAAGGTTCCAATATTAAAAAATGTTTTCCGACAATATTCTTACATAGTATATCAGCTACCTCGAGATTTACAGCACAAATCTTTTTTATATTTTATGTATGTTTTCAATATCATTCATGATATTAAATCTTACGTTTCGTATATACCTATATATATATTCACAATCCTATAATATAATCGTATATTGTATATGTTTGAGAGCAATGCATCCATCATTTTACTTTAATAAACTCTCGGCTACGAAATTCCTATTCATTTTCTGTCCTTTTTTTCGTCAAAGGTATAGTAGCATATAATAATAATTTTATATTTTTTTAGTCTGCCACGAGACGCGTCGGTCTCTCTTGCAGCAACTGTGAAACTATGACGACGTCTCTATGGCGTCGTAACACACACGGTGAACCGGTGTGTAATGCCTGCGGTCTTTATTTCAAGTTGCATGGCGTCAACAGGCCGTCGACTATGAAGAAAGACAGCATTCAAACGCGCAAGCGGAAGCCTAAGGGTGGAATGAAAAGCAGCGATACGCCTCTTTCTGGCAACGTTGCGCAATGCACAAACAATAATAACAACAATAACAATAGCGTTAAACTTGAAGCAGGTATACACACATTTCTATTAATTAACTACTTATATTTAAGTTTCGATTATTATAAAGAAAACTTAAAAAAGTTGTAGTTTTTATTCTTTTACTAATCAAATTTTTTCTGCCTCGAATTTTGCTTTACAAGATAATTTTACAAAACATTTATCCAGATAAAATAAGTATACACTTGCTTATTTTATCACATTAATTTTGTATATAAAATTCAAATCATAATTTTACAAAAAAATTATTTTGTTGTTAATGTAGATACTTACAACGATTTGAGGATGGCTCATACCGGCGTGTCGCAAGTGACATATCCGAGCAATCTTTACGGTAGTTCGCAGTCTTCGAGCAGGCTCGTGCCGTATCAGCCTGTGTATTACGATCTGATCACTTCGCAGCAACAGCAACAACATCAATTGCTAGAGACCCATTCACCGAAGATCGAATGTCCGTCTCCACCTTGCGCTACGCGCTCACCTGGAATGGTCTCAGCAGGTCAATCGCCTGATCATCATCAACTCACTTCACCACATATCGTCACTCTAGGCAGTCCGTCGACCAGTCCAGCTGGATCCAAAATTATGCTGGACAATGGTCACCTCGAGAGATCTACAGTTGTGTCAATATCATCCTAAATACAGTCTAGAAAGATATCGGATTGTTAAGGCAGGCAATAAATACAAAATCGTAGCAAAGTAATTAAGTGCCTGTCAAGCAAAAGACCTGGGTTTTTCATTCCCGCTTTTTACTTTTTAACCAGCGAGACATACAATCTCACTGATCTTATTTTTCTGCGCATATTGTGATACGCAAAATTAAAAGTTATATATCTTTAAAAAAATATGTGAAAATATAAAAACAGTGCTGTTGTAAATAAGTTTTATGTTTTAGGACCTTAGAATTTTTCAGAAAATCGTAGTTTTTTCTTAGGAAACAAAAGTTTTTAAAGAAAAACCGATTTTTTTTTCTTTGTAAAAAATGATTTTCTTCGATAATTTTACTTTATGCTATTTTTATTCTTTTTTTTTTTACCAAAGAAGATTCTATCAACAAATTCTATGCCTAACAACTAAAACAATACCAAATTACGAATGATATTGTTGTATCTGTATATATACATGTATGGGAATTTTCTTATACATAAGATTATATATAAAATTACACGTGTAAGTGTTCTTATATTCCAGTATAAAAGTACATAAAACCACAAGGATATTTTAGTCGAGCGGATATGTAATATTTTTAATAAGTATAACATAAAATGTATCGTGCAAGAACGGTAAAAATGATAAAAATAATGTATAATATAATTAAATAATAAACATATAAAAACGATGGTGTATATTATACGAGTAAACATATCTGACGGCTATACGAATAAATATATTCAATAATTATGACATATCTTTTTCTTTTTATAATAACGAGTTTTGTTAGCAAATATTTACGTCAATATGTTTCGCATAATATACTTTTAGAATGTTGTGTATTGAGATATTAGATTATTTCTAAATAAAATGGGATATTTTAAACATAGCTAAAAAGCTTTTTTTTATTTTTAATGATTTATATTTTATATAATTATATATCTTAAATCTGAAGGTAAGTTTATTGTTTTTAAAAAATATTTAAAAGTTTAGATCTAAATTATTAGAAAAATTACCTAATTAAAAATTATAATGTAGATTATTAACAAAAAGAATACAATATTACGTATGCATTTTATAATAAATTGCGAAAGATAGATCCAACGCGCATTATTGCCTATAGGTATTGAATCGTGTAATATGTACATAAACTCTATATAGATTTTTTACTGGTGTCGGCGCACACTGTGTGCTATAGATTTCCGCGATTTTCAGCAATATACTGAAATAATTAATTAAGGGGTTCTCAAATTACATAAAAAATTATTTCCAAACATTGGACAGTTTTGAGCTTGGACTCCTGTGATACACCTATAAAAATTGGTCGGCGCTCAATGTGTGTGTTATAAAATAATGTTTTTTTTTTCAATTTATCGAAATAAATTATTTAAATTACGTATGCAAATTGGTATAAGGGTCCTCTATATATAATATTCACAAAAACATTCAGTTGATGACGAACAAAAAGTTAGTGAACGGCTGAAAGAAAGTTCATCCTTGTGTATTTTCGACTATAATGCAATGTCTCGGCTAATCTTTGTCGCCATATTATACCCCCTCTTGTTTGCAATGGCGTAGTCGACATCAGAATTCACAAAAATTTTTTTCACAAGAAAAAGTAACTAGATATTGTTTAAAATTATAAAATTGTTTATTCGTATAATATTTAATTAAAAACAAAGGGCAATGAAAGTAGCACGTACGGAAAATAATATTCAATGCTAATAAAAAATTAAGTTGCAGAAACTAGCAATTGTACGTTTCAATTCCATTACTGAGCCATCCTTAGCAAAGACAAAAAATACTATTATAGTAAAAATAATAATAGTCCGTATCTACAGGGTGCGTCACCAAAATCCGGACAAACTTCAATTGAAATTTTCCGTTATATGTATAGTGCCTCCGCCAGAAGATGTTGTTGACTTTCCGAGGAAGCCATGATGCTTCTAGTAAACAGTCATATTCTCAAAACGGCCGCGATGTTGAAACCAAGTGCGGAGTATAATCGAAGAGCTGCGATCATCGAAGGCCTTCGCACAGGGCGCTCAGCAATGGAAATAATTCGATTTTTTGGATACCCGAGATCAACCGTTTATAAACGTTTTGTATGTGTGTGTGGCCAAATTTACGGTTTTAGAACAGTCCAACAAAGGTTCCAGCGAGGAAGAGTCATTCGAAAGAACGCACCGCGAGGGTCGTTCCCCCCGCAGTCGTCGAAAAAGCTCAAGATCTGATTTCGGATAACCCAGGGCAATCGTTGCGAAAATTAGAAGACAATATGTTTTTCAACAGGACGATGCACCGGCTCACACGAGTCATTTGATTCAAAACTGGCTCTCAGACAATGTCGATATGTTCTGGTCCAAGGAATTTTGGCCTCCCAACAGCTCATATTTAAATGCTTTGGACTATTACGAATGAAGCGTAGTTGAAAGAGTCACTAACAAGTCTTGGCATATCCTAATGTGACGTCATTAAGGACCGCTACTGAGGCAGAATTCGTCGGCATGGACAGCGCTACATTACATTATTATGCTCTATAGGGATCCCCCAAGTGCCACATAAAAAGATTTTTTGTAATATTTAATTTTTCATTAAGAACATTTTGTTTAAAGAAATTGATCGATTTGTCTGAATTTTGGTGACGCATCCTGTATATACAAATAAAGATGCGGATCATTGCGATTTTTATGGTTTTCAATATTTTGTTACAACATACACGTATAGTTATAATGAAATAACATGTAATTCTATTTTATTAAGGGGAGGTTCTCATCTAGCGACCCGAAAATAAGGTAATTTTCTTGAATTTTTTTCTCATGGTAGGATGTAAATTATCAATTCTAGTTTTTTGGCACATATTTATCAAGTATTTAAGTACAAAAATAAATTTTTTCGACGCTTAATATAGTGAAGAAAATGTTTTATGCGTGCTGCAACGTGACCGTGTGAAAAAAATGTTAGTTGATTACAGCCAGGATTGCGGTCGAACGGATGATCTAAAACGAAAAAACCAAAAATTTTCTTAAAATATATGATATTTAACGCCAAACATTACGTGATATTCTTCGCAATATAGAATATTAGAATATATTATCAGATTTAGATTGACTCTTATTCGCCATTCTCAACGTATTAATTATTGTTTATAAAAAGAGTCCTTTATTTCTTCAATTATTTGTTTTCAAAACCGCAGGTTGTAATAACGCGGATAATACATTGCAATTCTGTTCATTAAGTAAAAATTTACAGTTTCTAGATTAATTGCGTTTCAAGACCGAAAATCCATCGGCGCGCAAATATTTAGGAGGGGGGATATTTCAGATTATTAGAGTTGCGTTGTAAGACCGAAAAATCTTTCGGCGCGCAACAATTAAGAAGAGGGGACATTTAAAAATCAGATTATTTGGGGGGACTATATATAATTAGAACGTTATTTCTCA